AGCTTGCTATAGTTGATCCTTGCATGCTATGGACTTGTTCTTGACTTGCTTAGCTTCACAAACATGCCTTATTAATATTGGGTGTCTTGCCATGCCATGTTTTGCCCTATAGAGAGTTGCACAAGCTCATCTACATGCCTTCATAATTATGTTTCTGCCATGTTTAAATCTGTATAATAACTTGCTATGTTTACATGGGTGCCATCATATTTTCTGATCCTTTTTGGCTTATGGCCAGTAAGGGACTTTTGATCTATGCAATTAGTAGATTCATGCCATGACTTTTCTTGCCATTATAAGTTCCTGTAACATGTAGTTTGATAGCTCTAAACATTGCATCGTGGTGTTATTTTCTACAAAGTCTGAAATTGTTATAACTTGCCATCTTACCATGTGTGTTTGAGCATGTTCTAGTGATTTCTGGAGATAGATCAGTGTTCATGTTTTGTAATGCTTTACCTGTACATCATGACCATGCCTTTTGTTATCATGTTTGGGTGCTGTAGCGTATTGTTTTGATGCTTGCAATATGCCTACTTGCTGTTTTGGATAGCTTGTCCTTTAAACTTGTGTAGTGTGCATGTGTTGAACCGTTGCTCCGTTTTGAGTGTGCTCTATATGAAACTTACTTAGTTTTGCATGTAGTTTCATATTATCATGTTGCATCCTTGTCTTGAGGTGTTTGCTTGATGTTTGGGTGCATTTTGCATCAATGTCATGTTTAACTTGTGTTGCTCATATCTTCTAGGCCGTAGCTCCGAACTAAGTGAACTTTATATGTAACTTGACTAGAATCTCGTGTAGATCATCTTTGTGCATCTTAACTTGCTATTTAACAACTCGAACATAAGGTTTATTCAGATCTGGACCAATTTCGAAATATGCATATGAGGACTTACCGGAATTGTTATATGTTGTTCCCGGCCTCATTTAAACTTGCCTTGATGTGTTGCTCTTGTTTGCCTCATCTCTTACCATGAGTAGCTCCATATAGCTTTGTCATGCATCATGCTTGTTGTGCATCATGTCTTGTCTATGAGTGGTGTGTTTACTATGTCGTGTGCTTCTTTTCGATAGTTCCTGTTTCGTTGCGATCGTGAGGATTCGTTCGTCTATGGTTGGTTCGGCTTCATCCGTTCGTCTTCTTCATGGACTCGTTCTTCTTCCTAGCGGGATTTCAGGCAAGATGACCGCTACCCTGGATCTCACTATTATCATTGCTATGCTAGTTGCTTCGTTCTATCGCTTTGCTGCGCTACCTATCATCTGTTTATCGAGCCATCCCATATTGCCATGAACCTCTAACCTTTGACACCTTTCTATGCAAACCATTGTTTGGCTATGTTACCGCTTTGCTCAACCCTCTTATAGCGTTGCTAGTTGCAGGTGAAGTTGAAGATTGCTCCATGGTGGACAGGATTTTGGTTGGGATATCACAATATCTCTTATATTATTAATGCATCTATATACTTGGTAAAGGGTGGAAGACTCGGCCTTTTTCCTGGTGTTTTGTTCCACCCTTGCCGCCCTAGTTTTCGTCATACCGGTGTTATGTTCCCAGATTTTGCGTTCCTTACGCGGTCGGGTGATTTATGGGACCCCCTTGACAGTTCGCTTTGAATAAAACACCTCCAGCAAGGCCCAACCTTGGTTTTACCATTTGCCTCACCTAGCCCTTTTTTCCCTTGGGAGTCGTACTCTCGAGGGTCATCTTTATTTTATCCCCCCGGGCCAGTGCTCGTTGTGAGTGTTGGTCCAACCTGTCAACCGCCGGTGGCCACCAGGGGCAACTCTGGGCTGGCCTACCGGAAGTTTGGACAATCCGGTGTGCCCTGAGAACGAGATATGTGCAGCTCGTATCGGGATTTGTCGGCACATCCGGGCGGCTTTGCTGGTCTTGTTTTACCATTATCGAAATGTCTTGTAAACCGGGATTCCGAGTCTGATCGGGTCTTCCTGGGAGAAGGTCTATTCCTTTGTTGATCGCGAGAGCTTGTCATGGGCTAAGTTGGGACACCCTTGCAGGGTATAATCTTTCGAAAGCCGTGCCTGCGGTTATTGGCAGATGGGAATTTGTTAATGTTCAGTTGTAGATAACTTGACACCAGATCCGAATTAAAACGCATCAACCGCGTGCGTAGCCGTGATGGTCTCTTCTCGGCGGAGTCCGGGAAGTGAACACGGTTTCTGGGTTATGTTTGACGTAAGTAGGAGTTCAGGATCACTTCTTGATCATTACTAGTTGATGACCGTTCCGCTTGTTCTCTTCTCGCTCTTCTTTGCGTATGTTAGCCACCATATATGCTTAGTCGCTGCTGCAACCTCACCACTTTACCCCTTCCTTTCCCTTTAAGCTTTGCTAGTCTTGATACCCATGGTAATGGGATTGCTAAGTCCTCGTGGCTCACAGATTACTACAACAACAGTTGCAGGTACAGATTTTGCGATGATCATGACGCGAGAGCGATGCTTGCTTGTGTTGATTTCTTCTTCTGCTTCTTCGATCAGGGGATAGGCTCCAGGTCGGCAGCCTGGGCTAGCAGGATGGATGTCGTTTGATTTTCTGTTTGTGGTTCATCCGTAGTCGGATGTTACTCTTATGTATTGTGATGTTGTATTTGTGTGGCATTGTATGCCTTATGTATGTATCCCCATCTATTATGTAATGTTGATGTGATGATATCCACCTTGCAAAAGCGTTTTAATATGCGGGTCTATCCTTGGTGGGACCTTCGAGTTCCTTTTGGATAGGGTCGCATATTGGGCGTGACACTTCCCCTCGGATCTTCACCGTTTTTGCGGATCGAGATGGCCCCGAAGAGAGAAACGTAAGCTCCTCCGATCCCTCCAATTAGTTTTTGCAAACTTGCTTTAGATTCGACGCATTATTTGCTTCAAATGCCTCATATTTTTGAATTTAAGATTGTTTTAGCTTGATTGTAGTTGTAGTTCTTAGTTCTTAGTTCTTAGTTCTTTAGTAAGCATGTTGATATGATGCATATTGGAGTAAACAAAAAAATATATGATGCAAGTAGTGGATTTGGTTGGAGTAAATATGATATGGTATGATTTTCCATATGTTTAGGTCTGCAACAGTGGTACAACCATCGCCCCTTCATCTCCAACACGACCCGGCCGGCTTGCCACTTCCGTACGTGTACGAGTCTTGCCCCGAGCTTCTGCAGCCGGTGACCGCTTTTTCAGACGAGATCCTACAGGAGACGAGGGCAGTGCGGTGGCACGAGAGGGCAGAACGGATCTCCGATGATCAGAAGTGTTGGGCGCAGAGCGCGAAGGAGTGGAAGAGGGTGATTGCAGAGATGGAGGGAGATCCAACTATCTCCCGAGAACGCCGGGAATGGAACATTGAAGCTGCCAAGCAGCGCTCCAACTGGGAGCTGCGCAATTTGGGCCGGCGGATCTACTTCGAGAGCAATGCGGAGGAGAGAGCCAGGATGCCGCCCCCAAGTGCATCAGCATTCGATGTCATCAACTGGACAAGGGCGGAGGCGAAAACTCCAGCGGGTAAGGCAAGGTGGGACTACTTGAACGGTCGGATGCCGACCAGCCTTTCGCCTCCGCCTGAACCGGTGGATCCGCTGCCGTATCTGTCTCCACGGCCATGCCTAACATACGAGGGGGGAGATTTGTCCGCCCCATAAACATGTCGATTGCATATGTATCTCTGTTTTAGCAGGGGTTGTCAAACTATGTGGACAAGTTTGCTATTTGCTATTTCCTACTTATGAATCTATGTGTAAAGTGTTTGATATTTGCTATGTGAAACCTTCATTATTATGTGAGCTCATATTTTGCTATTTGTGAAACTATGTGAAACTTGTGACAAAACGAACTATGTGAAACCGTTTGTTGGCTTTTTTTGTGAGCTCATATTTTGCTATCTTTGTGAAACTATGTGATAAAACTTTACAAAAGAAACAATCACTAAAAAAATGTGAGCTCATATTTTAGGGTCTATATTGTTTTTGAAAAGAAGCAAAAATTAAACTTATAAACCATAAAACACAGGACCACCGCCAAGGACCCTGGCAGTAGGACGAACGTACCTCCCGCCAGGGCACCTCGATATATCGTTACAGAAACTTTAGAAGGCAAAGCCCCATCCACACTTTACCGCCACGGGTGCTGGCGGTAAGGTTTAACATGCTACCGCCAGGGTCCCTGGCGGTAGGCTACTTGTCCACATCAGCACGGGCAAACGGCGGCCGTCGCCCTCCGTCGCACCCTACCGCCAGGGACCCTGGCGGTAGCATGTCTAACCCTACCGCCAAAACCTGTAACGGTAGCGAAAGGGTCAGATCTCGAAAATTTTCGAAACCAGGGTCAAATCCTGAATTTGTATCGAAAAAGGGTCAGAACACGAAATTCGACCGGCTGGCACAGTGGATGCGAATCCACGAGCTCATCGACCACAACCGGTTGGCGTGATGGGTCGCACGGGACTCAGGATGCAGTCTTTGTCGAGGATTTCGGAAGCCTTTCAGGCCATACATACTTCCCTAGTCGGCAAAAATCTGACAGGACCTCCGCTAAATCCACATCTTTTTTTCCTGGCCGATGCACCGAGCTCTGTCGGCCGAGGGTAACGATACCGAGTGAGAAAGGTGAACATCAGACTATATTTCGCATGGTTATCAGAAAAAAGAGAGACTATACTTCACATGAGCGTGTCATCAGTTCATCACTCAAATGAACGCGTCGTCACCCAGAAGTATCGGCCTCTTACGACTGCACATCCTTCAATATCCTGGGAATACTGAAACTAGCCAGCAATCCGAAAGATTCATTTATTGAACACGACAAAACTGGAAAGAGTATCACTGCGCAGCTCGGCAACACGATGCCACAACATCCGTAATTACATGCACACAGAATCACACCCTATCTCGCAGCGGAGAAAATTTTACCGAACAAGGCATAGGCAGCAACACGCGGTCTGATGGTGCATGGCGACTGGTCGGAGAGATCCATCAGGTATACTACACGCCGGCGGGCTTGGACCCAGACCCACGGCCTTCCTCCCGCGCGGCGGCGTTGGCGGACACGTAGTACACGAGGCAGAAGACGGCGTGCACGAAACAAAGGATGCCGCCGATGGAGAGGAAGCGGTGCCGCACCACCCCGCACTCCGCCATTACCTTCTTGGAGTTCGGCAGCGCACCGAGGATCAGCAGCGCCAGTCCCACCAGCAGAACCATCCTGGCAATCATAAACATGTTGACATTTTGTGCGTGTTCTTCGAATCGAACCACGGGAACCGGAAAAGCATGCAGGAGTTGATAGTATTTTTGGTGGTGATGTTGCGGCTCATGCTTGGCGTGCGTAGGACAGGAGCGTACCATGTGAGGACCAGGGCGAAGGACGCCATCTGCCGGTTGGGCGACGAGCGCCGGCCGCCGGAGCAGCAGGGCCACGTGCAGGAGCAGCCGCCGACGATATTGGCGATGGCGTGCGACGCAGCCAGCACCGCGGCCGCCGCGATGCCGAGCTTGTAAGCCTGTGGGACAGGCTGCCTGCACTCGATGAAAAGTATCTTCAGGTGCCTCCCCTGCAAGACAAGAGTAATCAAATTTTGCCATGAAACATCACCAGACAACAACGAAATCCCTGCTTCTTGCCGACACGGCCTACCTGGCTCTGAGCTTTCTCCGCGTGAATTCCAAGGACGCCGGCGGCGACATCCATGGCGACGATGAGGAGGCAGACGACCACCGCTTCAACTCTCGCCATGGCTTCTACAACCTTGGTTCTCCTCCCCTCCTGTCGACTGTCGTTGTGGTGAAAATGGAGGAACGGCGGCGTGGGCACGACGGGCAGGCTAGGGTGTCGCTACTAGACGAGTGTGCAGCGAAGATGCTTTAGGTCTCGGCTTTTGATGTTCTTTATTGTTTAATATCTCTGCGTTGGTTTTCTTTACCGATTCCTCTCAGTGCTCCCACCAGAAAGGCAGAAGCTCTGCTAGGCTCTGCTTAACACCAAAGAAAGAGGCGAATGTTAAGGTGACACGAGCCGACAGGGCGCGAGACATCGATAGCACTGCTAATTACCCGTCATATCACTCTATGAGTGAGATTTTCCTGAATCCCATTCACCAGGATTACCTCCAGCGATTAATCTGCATCCTCACTAAAGTTTATCCGTAATCCATAGACTTACAGCTCTGTATTACTTCAAATTGTGCAACTTTCATACTGATGGTCCCAATCTATTCTTCAAGTTCAAGTTATGGTCAGAAGAAACAGATCGTTATGATGGTGTGTATATACGTAGCTGGAAAAGGCATTGGAGACTGATTCGACGTACTAGAAGAAAGAGAAACAAAAGGTATACAAACGTTGGGCTGTGCATCCGCGCTGGCGTATGGCCGCCAGCCTGCGAAACAGCCGCTTTGCTAGCTGAATGGGCGATGTGGCGTGCAATAGAACCATCTGGTGTGCGGTGGTGTGGCTTTCGGAGATGGTGCTCAGTTTCTACTGTACGACGATGGATATAGGGTGTCGATCCAGGACGGAGGAAGTTTTGTTGTCCTTAAGGGCAACAACATTTTAAAAACGCCTTGACTTTATTGTTAAGCAAACATGCCTCTTTCGGAGATGGTGCTCAGTTTCTACTGTACTTCCTACTATGAAAAGAAGGCTTTTACGTATATTGTCTAAAGTCAAAGAGTGCAAAGTTTAATCAAATTTATAGAAAAAATAGGAAAACATTTAGTTTAAGCCGGATGATTTTCATCTCGCGGAAACCACCTCCTTCTTACGACGCGTGTCCCACGTGGGCCTCACCACTCGCACGCCTTATCACAGGCCCCGTCGTTTCCCACCGCAAAAAATCCTATTCTCTCTTCCCTCGATTCCTCTTCTTCCCTCGTCCTCGTCTCTTTCACTGAGGCAGCAGCAAGACGCAGATGTGAGTATGGAGACGCCGGAGGAGATGCCTAGTCGCGCCTGAGGGAGTGCTGGATTAGGGGGTCCTCGGACAGCCGGACTATATACTTATGTCGGACTGTTGAACTATAAAGATACAAGATTGAAGACTTCGTCCCGTGTCTGGGTAGGACTCTCCTTTGCGTGGAAGGCAAGCTTGGCAATTCGGATATGTAGATTTCCTTCTCTGTAACCGACTCTATGTAACCCTAGCCCCCTCCGGTGTCTATATAAACCGGAGGGTTTAGTCCATAGGACAACAACAATCGTAATCATAGGCTAGCTTCTAGGGTTTAGCCTCTACGATCTCGTGGTATATCAACTCTTGTAATACTCATATCATCAAGATCAATCAAGCAGGAAATAGGGTATCACCTCCATAGAGAGGGCCCGAACCTGGGTAAACATTGTGTCCCCCGCCTTCTATTACCATTAGCCTTGGACACACAGTTCGGGACCCGCTATCCGAGATCCGCCGGTTTTGACACCGACATTGGTGCTTTCATTGAAAGTTCCACTGTGTCATCACGCTAAGGCTTGATGGCTCCTTCAATCATCCGCAACGATGCGATCCAGGGTGAGGTTTTCCTCCCGGACAGATCTTCGTATTCGGCGGCTTCGCACCGCGGGCCAACTCGCTTGGCCATCTGGAGCAGATCGATAGCTACGCCCCTGGCCATCAGGTCAGGTTTGGAAGCCTGAACTACACTGCCGATATCCGCGGAGACTTGATCTTCGACGGATTCGAACCTATCACAGGTGCGCCCTACAGTCGCGATGAGCATGACCTAGATCTGCCATCGGACGGTGTTCAGGAGATAGCACCTACAGCTGCCCTGGCTTTAATTTCGGAGCAGATCGTGCCATCTGAGGACGGGTGGATGGACCCCGCCACGGAGGCCGCACACTCAGCGGCGATAGAACCGAACACAGATCCCACTCCTAAGGAGATCTATGTCTTCGGACCCTCGGACTCTTCTCCGACCAGGGGCTCCGAACCGCGTGCATCCGTGCCCATCGGACCTGACTGGGCACCGGTCATGGAGTTTAGCTCCGTGGTTATATTTCAGCACTCGCCCTTGGGCGATGTGCTAAGCTCATTAAAATCTCTCTCCCTGTCAGGAGACTCTTGGCCGAGCTATGTCCGGCTTGAGTGGGAAGCGGATGACGAAGAAATTTGTTTCCCACCCACCACCCACTTAATAGCCACTGTCGACGACTCAACCGACATGCTTGATTTTGACTCCGGAGACATTGACGGTATGAATGACGATGCCGGAGAAGAACAGGAACCACCGCCCACACACCGCTGGACAGCCACCTCATCATATGATATATACATGGTGGACACACCCAAAAAAACAACGGTGAGGAACGGAAGGATGCAACGGAGGACAATCCTCTTGGGAAGCAACCAAAGCGCCGACGTCAGCGGCGCCGCTCTAAATCCCGCCACAGCAAAGACATCGATAACGGCACAAGAAAGAATAATACCCTGGTCGACTCCAAAGGTAACGACGACCCCATGGACCCAGCAATGGAGCAGGATGAGCCAGGGGACGTTGAACATAGTCCGGGGCCGCTATCCGATCACAGCGATGCCGAAGATAAAACTTATAAACCTGTCTCCGAAGAGGAGAACAGTCCGGAGGACGATGTACTTATCATCCCAGAAAAGCACTTGGAACAAGAGAACCTCCACAAGAGGCTTATCGCTACCGCGAGGAGCTTGAAGAAGCAGAAGCAAAGGCTTAAGGCCGCAGGATACGCTCAACCACAGATGGAACAAAGTGCTCGACACTGACAAAAAATACGGTGGCGATCGCCACACAAAGAGCTACCCAAAGCGCAGGTTGCTGCCCGAATTCGACAACAAGGCTATAGAGCCCGAAAAACAATACGCCCGATCTACCGGACCGACCACCCCGTGGCCGAGACAGAGCGGCTAATGACGCCGCAGACAAATCAGCACATGATCTACGTGAGCACCTGGACAAAAGAGTCAGTATGGCCAGGTCCATCTATGGATCCAGGAAGCATGCTCCTACGCAGCATCACAACCACCAAAACGACTATACTGATCGAATACCAGCTCAAAATCAACACCGAACACTACATCCGTCGGAGCATGCCACGACATATCGAAATACAGGGGTGCTGTGCACCCCCTGTGCTTCACCGATGAGGTGCTGGATCATGAATTTCCAGTGGAATTTAAACCCGTAAACATAGAGGCATACGATGGAACGACAGACCCTGCAGTGTGGATTGAGGACTTTATTCTTCACATCCGCATGGCTCACAGAGACGATCTCCACGCCATCAAATAATTGTCCCTCATGTTGAAAGGACCAGCTCGGCACTGGTTGAAAAACCTCCCCGAAAACTCAATTGGAAGTTGGGAGGAACTTGAGGACGCTTTTAGGGCTAATTTTCAAGGGATCTATGTCCGACCTCCGGATGCAGACGATTTAAGTCACATAATCCAACAACCCAGAGAGTCAGCCTGTAAGCTTTGGAACAGATTTCTCACCAAGAAGAACCAAATCGTCGTCTGCCCGGACGCCGAAGCCTTAGCGGCTTTCAAACACAGTGTCCGGGACGAATGGCTCGCCAGACACCTCGGCCAGGAAAAACCGAGGACAATGGCAGCCCTAACAAGCCTTATGAACCGTTTTTGCGTGGGCAAGGACAGTTGGTTGGCCCGCAGCGGCACCAGCGACCCAGGCACATCCGAAATCAGGGACGACAACGGGAAGCCGCAACGCAATAAAAACAAGCATCGAAATAATGAAGACAGCCCAGACAACACGGCGGTAAACGCCAGATTCAGGGGCTCTCGACCCGGTCAATGGAAAAAGCCATCTAAAGGCAGCAGAGATGGACCGTCCAGCCTAAACAAAATCCTAGATAGATCATGTCAGATTTATGGCACCCCCGAGAAACCTGCGAATCACACCAACAGAGAATGCTGGGTCTTCAAGCAGGCCGGCAAGCTAAACGCCAAACACATGGGAGGGAGCCGCAAAGTGAAGACGAGGACAAACCAAGCCAGCCGAACACTGGGGGACAGAAAAAATTCCACCAGAGGTCAAAACAGTGAACATGATTTACACAACCCACATACCAAAGAGGAAGCGCAAATGCGCACTCCGAGACGTATAGCATGTAGAACCCATCGCCCCCAAATTCAACCCATGGTCAACCTTCCCGATCACTTTCGATCGCAGGGATCATCCGACTAGTATCCGGCATGGAGGTTCGGCTGCCTTGGTGCTCAACCCAATAATTAACGGATACCATCTCACCCGAGTCCTCATGGACGGCGGCAGTAGTCTTATTCCGATATATCAGGACACTATCCGCAAGATGGGGATAGACCCGTCAACAATCAGCCAAAGCAATACTACCTTTAAAGGAGTAATACCAGGCGTAGAGGCCCACTGCACGGGCTCTCTAACACTAGAGGTTGTATTCGGTTCTCCCGACAACTTCCGAAGCGAAGAACTAATCTTTGACATTGCTCCATTCCGAGGCGGCTACCATGCACTACTCGAAAGAACGGCCTTCGCTCGTTTCAATGCAGTTCCGCATTATGTCTATCTTAAACTTAAGATGCTCGGTCCATGTGGCGTCATCACAATTAGCAGAAATACAGAGCGCTCCTTGCGTGCGGAAGAATATGTGGCGGCTCTAGCAGCCGAACCACTGACTGGCCTGCCAACCCAAGTAGCTAATCGGTCGTCGAAGACCACGTACACGTCTAGACGTGTTCGGCGCACCACTATTTGTAGCAGCCCAGATAAA